CTGGAGCACTTGCCAGGTTGAAGGGAGTAATCTCAGGGATACCACTTAGTGTGTCTATGGATGACATTAAAAAAAGAAGTCAAAGGAGGGAAAGTGATTGATGCGACCAGGATTAAGAGCAAAAGGGATGGTATTCTGAAAGACTCAATGTCAGTGATTCTACAGTTTGAGAACAGCACCCCAAAATCAGTGCAGATTGGGTACATGAATTACAATGTGAGAGAGTATATACCTAAACCAATCAGGTGCTTTGTATGTCAAAGAATGGGACATATTGCTAAAGAATGCAAAGGGAAACTATGGTGTGCACGATGTGGAGGGCAGCATGAGTATGGAAAATGTGGAAAAGACGCTAAAGTGAAATGCTGTAACTGTGGAGGAGATCATAGTGCTGCATACGGAGGATGCATAGTTCAGAGAGAAGCAAGGGAAGCTCAGAGAGTCAGAATAACAGAGAATGTCTAATATGCAGAAGCTCTAAAGAGAATAAGAAAGGAGGGAGCTCACAGTATGGATGTCAGTGGAAAGGGACAGAGGGATACAGTGGAGAGAGCAAGCACTCAAGGAAATCAGACCCAAATACGAGGGCCCTCTGTACCAGAGCAAAGGATATGCTCACATAAATGTAAAGTGGATGACAGTACCATGGTAGTGAAAAAAGAGAACTTTGTGGCTTTTATCTGCCATGCCATCAATGTAGCAGTAAACATGAAGAAGAAAAGTGATAAAATTAAGACAATTGTAGAGGCAGCAGGAAAATTCCTCGACATGAAAGAAATTAAAGCTGATCAAATACATACACTGTTGACAGTAGCAGAAGCTGCAGAAAACACCAAAGATGTGGCTTGATGCACTATTTATGGTTATACACATTCTTCAATGGAATGCCAGAAGTTTGTTAGCTAATGGTCAGGAGCTTAAAAGATATATTTATGATCTGGAAGTAGTTCCAGATGTTATTTGTGTTCAGGAAACTTGGTTGAGACCACAGATAGATTTTAGGATCCCTGGATTCAGCGTAGTTAGACATGACAGAGATGATAAGCATAGTGGAGGAGGTTGTGCCACATTTATCAAAGATGGGTTGGCCTACAGAGAGATCACCTCACCTAAAGAGATAGAGTGTGTTGTAGTAGAGCTCTGCAGCTCACGGAAGGAAAGAAATTTGAAGATAATAAACTTCTATAATCCATGCAGGAACTTAACATGTGACATGTTTAAAGAAATAGCAGGTATAGTATATAAGAGAGAAATTTGGTGTGGGGATTTCAATGCTCATAACAGCTTATGGGGCAGTAACCTTACAGACAATAACGGGAGTGTAGTTGAGGAAATGATGGATGAGAGAAATCTGGTTTGTATTAATGATGGAAAAGGAACCAGAATAAATGTAAACAGAGGAGCAGTATCAGTACTAGATCTTACTCTGGTGTCAGATAAAATGGTGAATATTTGTGAATGGTGTGTTAAAGATGACACTACACTAGGAAGTGATCATTTTCCAATTATTACCACAATAAATGATAATGTGTGCAAGCAAGAAGGGTATACAGTCACCAGATGGTGCATTAGTAAAGCTAACTGGGAACATTTTAGGTTGTGTTGTAAGGAGACTGCACACATGGTAACACTTGAAGGAAATATTGAGGAATGTGCTAGTGAAGTTACAGAGCATATCTTAAATGCTGCAAATCTTTGTATCCCAAAAAGAACAACAAAAGGTGAGGTAAGAGTAGTCCCCTGGTGGAATGACGAATGCAGCAGAGCAATAAAAGAAAGAAACAAGGCTCTTAGAATGTTAAGAAAGAACATGTCAATAGAGAACCTTGTAGATTACAAAAGGAAAAGGGCTGTAGCCCGAAGGATAATAAAGGAAGCAAAAAAGGAAACATGGAGAAACTATTGTTCATCCATAGGAAGAGAAATAAAACTACAAAATGTTTGGGCAATGTTTAAGAAAATGAGTGGGAAAAAAAGTTCTGGTAAAATCCCAGCGTTGGTCAGTGGTCAGAGGTTAACTATAGCAAACAAAGAAAAGGCAGATGTGTTAGGTGAGACATTTGCTGCTGTGCATAGCAGTGAACACCTGGGTGATAAGCATAGGCAGCAAAAGGAGAAGATACTCAGAGAACTTGGAGAGGTAAGGAAGAAGAAAGAAAGCTTTACAACAACACTAGACATGAAATTAACAACGCAAGAACTTAACGTAGTGCTTAAAGGTACTGGGTACACAGCCCCAGGGGAAGATCAGCTCTGTTATGCCTTGTTCCGGCAGCTCCCTGAAGTGTCATTAAATAAAGTGTTGAAATTCTTTAATAAAATCTGGAGAGATGGAGATGTTCCAAGTAGTTGGAAAAGGGCAATTATATTGCCATTTAACAAGCCAGGGAAAGATCACACTAACCCTAATAACTATAGACCAATAGCACTCACGTCCCACCTGTGTAAATGGATGGAAAAGATTCTTGTACACAGACTTTCGTATGTATTGGAACAGAGAGAATTAATAAAGGATATTCAGTGTGGGTTTAGAAAGAGTCAATCCACTACAGAAGCACTAGTTAGGGTAAGTAATGATATTGAAAAAGCATTAAAGATGAAAGAAACAATGGTAATTGTATTTTTCGACATAGAAAAAGCATATGATTCAATGTGGAGGGAAGGTTTACTTATTAAGTTAAATCAAATGGGCATTAATGGAAGAATGTATAATTGGATAATGAGCTTTCTCTCAGACAGGAGAATAAGAGTGAAAGTTGGGGCAGAACTTTCAAAAGAGTTTAAAGTGGAAAACGGTACCCCACAAGGGAGTGCTATTAGCCCAGTGTTGTTCAACATAATGATAAATGATATTTTTGCAAATGTAGAAGGAGGTATTAGATCAGCTTTGTATGCAGATGATGGGGCCGTCTGGATGAGGGGGAGAAATGTTTCTCATGTGATGGAAAAAATAAAGAGAGCAGTTGAGGAAGTAGAGAGATGGTCATACCAATGGGGCTTTAAGATGTCAGTAAATAAGTCCTGCTATATGATGATCACAAGTAAGAGAAAGATTGAGGTGGAGAATATAACAATGTATGGTCAGCCACTAGAGAGGGTGGCTGAATTTAAGTATCTGGGCCTATGGCTTGACAGTAAATATTCATGGAAAAAACAATTTGAGTTCATGGAAACTAAATGTAAAAAAGTCATTAATTTGCTGAAAGCTGTGGCTGGATGTGACTGGGGGGCAGACAAACAGGCTCTTCTTGACATGTATAGGGCACTCATGAGGTCAATACTTGACTATGGATGCATAGTGTATGGTGCAGCAGCTCAAACATCATTACATAGATTGGACAGATTACAGTACAGAGCATTACGTGTATGCACGGGAGCCATGAAGACTACCCCCATTAATGCTCTGTTAATAGAAGCAGGAGAGATGCCTCTGGAGTTACGGAGAGAAAGGGTATCATTAGCTTATTGGATCAAGCTTAAAGGAAGTGGGGCAAAGAATCCAGCTGCACAAGTTCTACAAAGCTGCTGGGAATATTCCAGGTTTCAGAGGAAAGGGTTTGGGTGGACAGGAAATGAATGGGCTAAAAAGTATGGGATAGATAATTTAGAATTCACACAGCCCAGTCCAGTCAGTATGGTCCCTCCATGGATCTACCCTGAAGCAAAGGTGGACATGAATGTTTGTAATATGAAGAAAGAATGGCGACTGAGTGAAGTGGGTGAAAGAACTAGTGAATACCTAAGAACTAGGTATTACAACTACCTCAAAATATTTACAGATGGATCTAAGAACACAAAGGAGTGTGTGGGAGCAGGGGTGTACATACCATTATTTGGAGTGAACATTTCAAAACGCCTGTCAGACCACTTGTCAGTATTCACAGCAGAAATGGTGGCTGCAATTATCAGTCTACAGTGGGTGGAGGAGGTCAGACCAGATAGGGTGGTGATATGTACAGATTCAGTTGCTATTTTGGAAAGCCTACAGTCAAAAAGCATAATCAGGGAAGATTTGTTCATTGAAGTACAGCACAGTTTGTTCAGACTTCACAGGGGTGGAATTGAGGTACAGTTCTGCTGGGTGCCAGCTCATACAGGGGTGAAGGGAAATGAGGTAGCTGATAACCTAGCAAAAAGGGCTCTGGAAAAGAACATAACAATCACAATACCTTATGGAAAAGGAGAGGGTGAAAAAATGATAAGGGCGATAGGCAAGGAAATTTGGCAGAAAAGATGGGAAGATGATCAGAAAGGAAGAAAATATCACAACATACAAAAATCGGTTATAACAAAAATCTTTAAAGAAAGGAACAGAAGAGAAGAAATCATCATGATGAGGCTTCGAGTTGGCCATACTGGTCTGAATGACACAATGAATTTAATTGGGAAAAAGAATACTGACAAGTGTGAGAGATGTGGTGTTAAGGAAAATGTGGAACATATTTTAATACACTTTCTAAAGTATGCTTCAGAGAGAGAGAGGCTACAGAGGAAAGTCAGAGCAGCGCAGCAGGACTGGAGTATGGCTGGAATTCTAGGAACTGAAGGGGAAAGAGAAAAGATCCAAGTTGTAAGGAAAGCATTATTCAGCTTTCTGAAAGAGACCCAGTCGGCGGCCGTAGTTGGGACTGCAGTATCAGCTGTAACATCACTACCGACTGCAGCGCCTGGCTCTCACCTGATCTAACAGCTGATTGGTTCAGATGTCGACTCAACAAGATGACGTTTTAGATAAACTACTCATTTTTGTTGAATTCTAGAGATTAAGATTGTTTATTTGTCTGACCTGAAGGTTTATTCTGTGAACAGAAAATATGTTGTGTGACTGATGGTGAAAACAAACTGATATATGGGTCTGATCACTTTTTTAATGAACTGACATTATTCCAGACAGGATGTAAGTGTGTCTGTGACTTCCTGTACGGACTGAAGGCTGCTGGAAACTGTCAGACTTCACCGCAGCTTTTTGTCACCGCCCCCCGCTGCGACCGTCTGCTCTCGTCTACTTTCCAGAGGAGGGGCAGTTCATCTCCAACGAGCCTAATACCTCGGAACACTTGCGCTTCAAAAGATCAACACTGTGTCGAGCAAACTGGCTCGATCATAACATCACTAGTCGTATATAGTTTTGCATTTCGTTGTACAAGTGTTCAAGAGATATCTACTGTCGGTTTCTTTCAACTCCGTCAGTTAGCTAAGTTAGCTCCTCACAGTTAGCTAATAGCAGCACAGCACCATCCGTCAGTTTGTTTGGAAACATGTCAGGTCTTCGTGTTAAAGCTCTGAAGTTCCCATTCTTGAGTCTCTGTCTGCTGGCTGTGGCTGGAATAATACTTGCACACGGTAAGAAAGCTAAAGCTTTATATGTAACGTCAGTTTATCAGTGGTAGTTAGCATGAAGACACCATTTCACCTGCTCAAACCAAGGTAACAGTTAACGTTAGCTAACTAGCTTCATCTGTGTGACGTCACACAGTCTTCCTGGGTCATTTAGAGGTTCATCATCATTTTGTCAGCTCAGTCCAAGAACTTTGTTTTATTACTGTTGGAGAGTTTGTGCTGTTGAAGAGGTTAAATATATATATTCAGACGGTGTTTCACTGTATCTGTGTGTTCATGTTGTGGGGGAGCATCATATTTACAACAGCGTGTTTCAGGTGGTTTAAAGTCTGGTGCTCAGACTGAGCTCGGGAAGAAAGCCTTCATGTGCTCTGCTCCTCTCACTTGGAATAACTGTTTGGGTTCGTGGTGTAACAATGATGAAAAGGCACACATATAGCTTCGTTGATATGAAACTTTCCTGCGTCGGCTCAGATCACAGCACAATAACGAAAGCCAGACTGCCAGGCATGCTGAGAGACTACATGACATTTTTCAAGGTGCAGTGTCACTAAATATCCAATAGGTGGTACTGTAATACCACCTATAACATCTCCCTTTTCTTTAAGTAACCCAAAACTCAAAACTCTTTTATAACACTTACCCAGACAGATAGTTATACATTGCCACTGTAAAATAACCTAAAACAGCTCCACTTATCCCCCCCTCCACACTTTTCCTATAGTACACCCCCCCATGTTATTGTCCATGTGAACTTACAGGTTCAGTCTGTGTGGAGGCCGTATCTGACAGCCATAACGTGAGAGAGCAGGGGAATGAGATAATGATGATGATAATGGGACAGCTGCTGTTTCTGAGGTCTGTGGAGAGCCAGGGGCATGCGGACTGCTGGGAAACCCGCTGGGAGTAGGCTGGGGAGAAAACATGCATGCCCCCTCACCCTCAGTCATTTCACATGGTGCCCGAAACCCATGGCCTTCAAATGTAGGCCCCTCTGAACCAGTCATGGTGTGTTGTGATGGTATCGGTTCTGCCATACATAGGTCGACACGGTTGCGACAATAGAGAGAGCCCTCGACCTCCACCAGATAGGACCGTGGAGCTACTTTCCGCAGACACACTCCCCGCCGCCAGATGCCTGTCCTGTCCCCCCTCAAGAAGAGCAGGAGCCACTGGCAGAGCTGACTTCAGATGCCGTGCCATCAGACGCTGGGCAGGACTGCTGTCCATTCCCTCTCTAGGGGTGTTTCGCCACTGTAATATTGCTTTCCAGGTGTCCCTGCCTTCCCGAAGTGCTTTCTTCCATAGATTCTTTGCAATTTTAACAGCTGCCTCTGCCTTTCCGTTGGCCTTGGGATGCCTTGGTGAGAAGGTGACATGCTCAAACTCCCATTCCACAGAAAACTGGCAGAACTGAGTACAGGCAAACTGGGGCCCGTTGTCAGTGATGACCCTGTCAGGTTGCCCGTACTGAGCAAACTGAGCCTTGCATCGTTTTATTGTAGTCTCTGCACTGAGGTCTGGCAGAACATCAATCTCCCAGTAATCTGAGTAATGATCTACCAACATCAGAAAGTCTTTCCCACTGTGTTGAAACAGATCTAGGCCCACAATCTGCCAGGGGCGTGTGGGCAGTTCATGGCTCAGCATTGTCTCTTTCTGCTGCTCTACAGCATACTCGTTGCATGTTGTGCACTTACTGACAAAGTCCTTAATTTCACTCTGCATTCCAGGCCAGTATATGGTCTCCCGTGCCTTTCTGTAGCAGGCATTGCCTCCGATGTGACTGCAGTGTACTCTGGCAAGCATTTCAGCTCACATTGACTTGGGGATCACAACTCTCTGTCCTGCAAACTACATTATAAACAGGCGGTTCTTTATTAATCCCTCTGTGTCTTTATATTCTTACTTTTTATCCGCTCCCATTGGCTTCATGAAGTTCAGAGAGGAAACACTGGAAAATGTCATTGTCAACAGAGCTCCAGCAACACGTGTGGCCTTCATCAGGGACCCTGATGAAGGCCACAAGCTGAAACGCGTCGGTCAATAAACGCGTCGGTCAATAAAGTTGCTGGAGCTCTTTTGACAAATCTAGTTCATTATGAAGAGAAATATGTTTCTGTGCTGACTTGTTCAATTTTTACTCTTTAAGTCTGAAGTCAGATGTAAGGAGACACCAGATTTGTTTGCAGCTAAAAAAAAAAAAAGATATGTCTACGTTGTCATATCTGTAGTAATTTATTATTACATCCAATGATTTATTAAATTCAAACACATAGTAGGAAGAATTGTGATCTTCTGACACTGAGCTCACACTGAGCCCTCAGTATGAAACAGACACAGCAGTTGCTGTCATGTGAATCATCTTATAAACATGTCAGCCTGAATACAGGGTGCAAAATGAACTTTATTGTCCACCTGCTAAATGGCAAGTGAACGTTCAGATTTTACCAGCCACTCGATAGATTACCATTGTGTTTTTGGCTGGTGAGTGAACCTAATCTACTGACCACATATTACCAGCATTTGGCTGGAATCTGGTGCTCATTTTGTAGGCTGCTTAAATAAACTCAGATCATATCCCTAGATATCTCTAAATGGGAATGGGAAATGGGAACGAAGGTGTTCCTCAACCTGCAGGTGTAGGCAGAGAAGACTTTGTGGAAGAAGCTCAAAATGCTGTCATGGTTGTGTGAGGTGCTCCTGCTGTCAGTGTTCTTGAAGTGGTCCTCAATGCGCTGTCTGTGTATATCTTTAGCCTCTTTATGCTTTATCCAGGTTTGACCTGACCTTAATATATGTGTTGTGTGTTCTGTGTACTTGAGCAAACAGCAGCCCTTTGGTTCATTTGATGTTTATCATCATTTTGGAGGGTGTCCAGGAACTTGTGGTTTCATTCCTGCTGGAGAGCTGTGCTGTATTTTCAGACATCGTTTCATTCTGTCACACACCTTTGGGTTAATGTTGTGGGGGAAGCTGTCATTCCTGCAGCATGTCTCTGTTACACCAGGTTGTTTTTTAGTGTACTGCCACACTGCTGCAGCTGTAAGAGGCCTCAGCTGCTTTCAGCAAGCTGCTGCTGACTCCTCCCTGATAGCTGTAAACTACTGTGATTAACTGGATCAACTCCAAACTGAATTTGAAACTCAGTGTTTATTAATACATCATATTTACACTGCTCAAAAAATAAGGGAACATCAGATCTTGATAAATGAATTATTCAAGTTAAAAATCTAGTACGACAAACATTGGACAATTTGTTGAGAACAAAATGATGTAACAACGGTCAGTGGAAACCAAAATCATCAACCCACTGAGGACTGAATTCAAAATCACACCGAAAATCAAAGAAAAATATTGAAATCACAGGCTGAGCCAACCTGATATTAATTTTATCACAACAGCTCATAATGTGACTCAGTACTGTGTACTGCATGCACCCCCGACAACGTCTGGCCGTGCTCCTGATGAGCAAACTAATAATTATTAGGCATATTATTTGCTTTAAGCCCAATTAATAAGTGTCTTTTGTTCTCACAGCAGTCAGTGGTCAGTTGTGCACTGCAGGTTTCCCCCTGTGTGGTTTACATATTACATAACCTGATGCTCAGTTTTACAGTTTTTCTCCAGTGATTTGAGGTATTTCTGATAACAGTGTTTAAAGACTGCAAACACAGTGATGCATTGTTTAGTCCTGTAATTAATGATTACCTTCATTATTGATTAATCTGCAGATTATTTTCTCAATTGATAGTTTAGTATATGAAATGATAAATAGTGAAATGACATTCATAATATTTCAGAGCCCAATGTGATGTCTTCAGTATTCTTGTTTTGCCTGAGTAACAATACAAAACCTTGAGATAATCAATTTATTCTTGTACATGACAAAGAAAAGCAGGAAATCTCTGTATTTCAAATCTGAAAGGAGAAAATGTTTCACATGTTTACTTGAAAACTGACTGAGAGGATTCATTGATTTGCATATTCATTTTATTTGAATTGATTGATGAGAAGTTTCACATTGGAGATGAGGCTAATCCACATCCAGACCCTGAGTATTTTCAAAAGGCCTATTGTAAGGCAGTCCCTCCACATTCTCATTCCTTTATAGATCATAAAGTTCTCTCAGTTTGGAGGTGCTCATGCTCCACCTGGTGATGGTGATGGAGATAATTATTTGTTGTCCACAATGGCAAGACAAAATGATATATCCACTGTGCTGGTGCAGCAACAAGATCTCTAATCTTTGTCACTGAGAGAGATTCAAGTGTTTGATTGAGACCCTCTGCAGTTTCCTGCCTGTATGAGAGTCTTTGAGCACAGTACTGAAGAAAAGACAGATGATGCAACAGACTGTCTGCACCTCCTGGAGCAGTTCACCACTGGGGAGCAAACAAGAGCTTTTGTCAAACAGGGGTCAACAAATAGCTGCAGACAGAGGATATAACCTGACTTGACTTTCTGTGTTTAAACATAATGATTAAAATATGCTTCATCTTTCAGGGTCAGGTGACGTCACAGTGGTCGTCAAAGAAGGGAGTGGTGCTGTGTTACCCTGTTCCCTCAGCACCAAGGAGAGCATTTCAGCAAAGCTCTTTGACTGGAGGAAAGCTGCTCAGAAAGATGGTGGTCGGAAGGAGGTGTTCTTTTATGATGCAGGCATCCATTACAACAACGGGCGTCCAGGTCAGAGTGAGCAGTTCAAAGGTCGAGTCTTTCATTTTCCAGAAGAACTGAAACACGGCAACGCCTCCATCATCATCAGAAATACAACGGTGACTGACAGTGGAGACTACACCTGTGATTTTCCACGTCTTCAGCCACGTCAAACATTCCACATTGAGCTTGTTGTTGGTGAGTACTTTAATGAAACAGTTAAAGATCTCCAGCTGTTATTTTAGGTTTGACCCCAGCTGTTCTTCTTTGTTCATTCAGTCGTCTGTTTAAGGCACTGACGATGAGTTACACCATGAAAGTTTGACTTTAATTACATATCCAACATGTTGATGAAACATGAATAACTACTGTATATTTATTTGTACAGTTACAGTACAGTTTGAGATTTTTTTTCCCTTAACTTCAAGACTGATTTGAAAGCAGCACCACGTGTATCTCAGACCTGACAAGATATAAACACAGCACAGAAACTCTTTAATATTATAATGTTACATTTATGTTGAGACTCAGTTTTGGAATCAACTCTGTGACACTTTCTGAGATGTTATTAAGATAAAATGACCTGGTAATAATCCTGCAGTCAGTCGGGGACATTTACTTTGTTGGTTAATGTGACTGATACACAAGCACTTGAAGCAGCAACAGTCTGACCTCTTGTACTGATGGAAGCAGTGATAATTACACAAGGGGTCGTTACACATCTGTTGTAATTTTTATTCACTGATTTGAACAGTGTTTTCATTTTAAATAAGAATTGAGTTGAATTTAAAAGATGTGAGGCTGTTGATATTCTGTACTTTTTTTACACCTTTGCTCCAGCGATAGGTTTCCACCTTTTTTTTTTGGATTTGGTAGTTGGTGTCACTGTGACCTTGTGTCTGTCTAATGTTGTGAAGGCCTTGAGGGAATGTCCTCACATTTTGCACAAATGTCTAGTTGGACTCAAGAATGAATTGAATAGAATTTGATGGTCAGAGGTCAAAGGTCACTGTGACCTCACAAAACACATTTTTGGCCATAACTTAAGAATTTATTTGTAATTATGACATAATTTCACACAAATGTTTGATAGGATAAAATGATGGAGGGATGCCATTCTGTGTCCAAAAGGTCAAAGGTCAATGTCACTGTGACATCATAATGTTCTGCATTAAACACTTTCCTGGCCTTTACTCAGCGTCATATCTCAGGAAATGAAGGGGAGACATTTGGTCAGATACTGAATTGGTGACTCTAATCTTGGGTATCCACCTTGAAACTGTGATGATGGTGCACTTCTTCTTCCTCCTCTGTGCCATAGAGCTCCATTGTGGTTCAGAACACACCAGTGAGCCACACGTGTTCTTTCACTACCATGAACACCACTGTAGTTGATTTTGACTCAATCCACACACACCGCCCTGCTGCTGTACATAAAGCAGCATATATAGATTAATCCACTGCAGAAAATAGTCCCCACCAAATGAACTATTTCATTCTGTTTATTTGACAAAACTACAGTGAGAATCTGTTTTACTGAGACCTTTACAAACATAAATCTATATATCTGTGACCTATTTTTAAAGATGTACATCTCCAGCTTGGTGCTGAGAGCCACAGACCGTCTGTCTCAACACTTTCTGACCTCCCTATAAAACACAATGTTGGTTTTGATCTTTTCTCAAGATTTGCTGACAGTAAGAAAAATACAGAATGACATCAGGCTTATTGTTTAAGGTCTGATTTCATGTCTCCTTCAGGCAAATCTCTTGGTTGCTCGTCCTCCCTCCTTAAAAAACTTAAAGGGCCAGTGTGTAATATTTGGCATGGTTTATTGTCAATCTGAATCTGAATCTGAATATTCTACCCATTAATATGTTTATACAAGTGTATGATCACTATAAAATAAAATTCGTTTGGGTTTTGTAGCCTTATAATTAT